CGGAAAATACAAAAAGAACTATGAACGTCAGTTAGTCGTGCGGATGGGTATGTTACTTTTTCCTAATTTTTCTATCAATTTCTTATTACTTATTTATACTTCATATTAACTATTACATATTCCTAATGGCTTAGGTTGCAAACTCTTACCTCAAAGGTTTGAGTCGATGCTACAAGAGCTGTTTGGCAAAAATAAGAAGGGGTGCGAGTACATTATGGACATCAGCAAAGAAATGTGGACAAATGCATATGACGGGGGGTATCGCTATGGTCATATGACAACAAACTTGGCTAAAGCAATAAATTCAACCTTAAAGGGGGCGCGTCATTTACCAGTCACGGCGTTGGTTAAAATGACTTATTTTCGTTTGGGTCAACTCTTTGCAAAGCTCGGTGGACAAGCTCTTACTTGGATGCAAAACGACCATATTTACCACCCAAGACTAGTAGTTGATTTACAGAAAAAAGTGGCTGCATCAAATGGGATGTTAGTTACAAATTTTTCTCGCACCCGTGAATTATTTCGTGTAACCGAAATGCCACGTCCGCTGCAAGGGATTGGAGCTAACTCTTTCAGAGTTAATCTGCAAGAGAGGTGGTGTGATTGTGGTTTCTTTCAAGCACTCAAATATCCATGCTCTCATTGCAGCTCATTGCAGCTTGCTCATATTCGCATTTGGACTACAAAAAATGTATACCAACTTTCACCACAAGTATTCAAGGTATATGAATTTGAGTTTCCGCCCATAGGAAACGAAAGAGACCCAAATGAGATTCAAACTTGGCTTACAATTGTACCATATCCATTGCTATTGAGGGACTCAGGTCGTCCAAAATCTACTAGAATACATTGTGATATGGATATTCGGGAGAGGTCAACAGAAGAAAAACGATGTGGGCATTGTAGAAACATCGAGCACAATAGAAAAAAATGTTCAGCTCTGTTATCATCGTATAACTGTTACCTCCTATGTAATTAATATTGTATTTAAATGAATGTTTTTGTTTCTAATAATTTAATGTTATTGCATTTATATAATTTGTCAATGTATGTACACCTAAATATTTTTTTTTACTTTTAAATACATAATTTTTTTAATATATTTATTTAATATAATAATTAATATTATTAGTTATAAATTTTTTTAAAATATAATAATAATTCTACCTTCTAAGTAGAGAAAAATATTAAATTAAACAAATTAAAAGTTATTAAAAAATTTATGTATACAATGACACATTTCATGTTCTGATTGGAGGATTAAATTTATTAAATTAAATTTTCAATAAGACTAATTTCATAAAATATGTAAGTCTTGAAGATTAAATATGTAATTATACTAATTTATTAACTTATGCATCAATATTTTTGTTAAATATTTATAAGAGATTACTAGATTGATAACATTTAAATAATTAACTGATAAAATTAATAGATCGATAATCAAAATAAAAAATAATAATATAACCATATGTGTAATATTATAATTTCATACATTTTTCCTATAACTACAATAAAGTCAAAACTGGTTTTCATATATTGTTCTATCATATTAATGTAGATAATTCACTCCACCTTTAACATACATTAACAAAATACATTTGATAATTCTTACATTATAATCGAAACACTTTACATAATATATTACTAATTTATAATAATAATAAAAAATAAAATATTTATTATTAAACAAAATACGTGGCAGTCGAGCTGGCGAAAGGCGCGTCCCCGGGGATGCGCCTTCCACACGTGGCATCCAACTCAACGAAAACACGGGTAAAGCGCATCCCCGGGGACGCGCCTTTCGCCAGCTCAGCCGAAAGGGTGCCACTTCGGGAAATATATATTAAACAGTACTAAAAAGGTAAATATTCGTTAAAGGCGTGTCAGTTTGGTTAAATCGCATCTTCTACACACGCATATCCTCTAAAATATTTTGGTCAAATAACAGTTGGTCCCTTTATAATGCTCAAATTCGAGATTTAATTATTATATTTAACTTTTACTTTCATGCAATTTGATCCTTTATTTGTATTATTTTGTTAGTTAGTTCAAACATTTAATGTCATTTACTATATCGCTTAGAAAATAGAAATAGTTTATGTATTATATAAAAAATAAAATAATTAACTTTGTTAATTATAAATCTGATTTTTTTCTTTACTAGTTTATTTAATTACTTATCGCAAACCACACTAAGCAATTGGTTTCATTGGCAGCCCACCCCTACCAAAACGAAAACTTGCATTAAAACAGTCTAAAAATCCGTTGAATCTCATAGCAGACTGCAGATTACAACAAAATTGGGTCCACTACCATCAATACCTGGTCGTCGATCTTCCACGTCAGCCATTTTTAAGCAATGGCGGAATTTTAAAAATATATATATTTTATAATTATTCTCATTTAACACGTGTATGTCACAGTCATTATCACGACCACGTCAGTGATCACGTGGTAAAATTAAAAATGTTTAATATTTATGTATTAAGTAATTATTCATAAATAAAATTAAAAGAAAAAAAATCATGGTGTGTTGAGTGCTTGATGAGGAGACCACGTGGTAAAATATGTTCCTAGGTCACGGTGGACCCCAATTGGGCCCTAAGGTTTGGTTTGGAAAATACACCATTAAGGTCCTTGTCGTTTTGATGAAAAAGGGAGACAGCTGGCTCTTGAAACGCGGTTACATACATCAGCTTCACAGGTACAGCCTCGTCGGCCGGATGCTTCCGAACACAATAAATTAACCGGTTAATCATTTATTTATAGCATGGGGTCAACCGGTTAATCAGGTCGACTATTTTATTGTAATGGTCTTTGACTTTGAATTGATACTATTTATACGAATAACAAGGCTAATTGCATTATCATTGAACTTCTAGGATATTTTCATTTTGATTACTAAACTTTTAAAATTTGTATTACAATCACCATATTATTAAAACATAAACTTCCTTCTTATGTCCAAATTGGTAGTCACCGCTTGATTCACCTGTGTTGTCACCTTCTGACGTTCTTCTAATTACCGTTTATAACCATAATCATAAAATAACAGTAGATAAAATGAATAACTTAAAATATAAGCAAAGAAGTAAATATATATATATATATATATCCATATCCATTTTCACAAAATTTTGATAAAAAGAGAGATAACTGGTCGATTTCAATAGCGGAAATACTTTATTTGGTCAGAAGATCAATATAGTTTCATTTTAAGTCAATTCAGGTTGATAGTTTTGAATCATGAAATTTTAACAATTTAGTTTTTTTTGAGATTTGAGGAGATTGGAATATTTTTAGACGAGTTTAGACATAGAGAATTAAAGAGAAGAAGAACAAGATTTTGATGATATTTTCAATCAAATAATTCTTCGAATGATGTCGAAAACTAAAGTGAAAGAAAGAACAGCAAATGCTAATTTGGAAGAAATTTGGGATTCCTAACGCGCCACGTTAGCTCTTTTTAACAACTACCATAATGAAATCGATTTAAAAATTCAATGACTATAATATTTACTATTTTTAAAAAAATAATCTAATCCCTTTCATTATGTAATGCTGATTCCATCCCTGAGTGGTAGCTTTACTCGTGTAAGGCAGAGGATTAGATCCCCGCATCTCCGTTATTTTTATAGGAGTGTTTTATTGTTTGTACAACAATTTTTTTTTAAGAAATTACTGATTTTATTCAAAATAGTAAATATCTTCAATTACAATAAACATTTACAATCATAATCGCAAATTAAGCACGTAACTGGGATAATTTCTTATAATCATTTAAACAAAACTAACAACTTAAAGATCGTATAAGGATCACACAAGAAAATATTAAAATATAACCAATAAAACTCGAACAAAGATAGATAAAATAAATATGATCGCATCGGCAAACGAACCACAAAAGGGTATCAAACTACTGAAAGGCCACCGACAAACTATAAATTAGATTCGAGCGACGTGAAAATCTATCCACTAACGCATAACGAGTATGCAAATACAATCTGAGGGTCCAAAGCAGAGAAGATCAACAATATATCATATAAACGCCATATTGATCAGACATGGCGATGTCTAGTCAACCCTTAGAAAAATATAAATAAGACAACGGCTAAACGGCCGAAAAACGTGCCAAAAAAATATAAGAAAATTTGTCATACAGGCAAAGGAAAATGTGTTATACATGTAGATTTATTAAAAATAAAAAAAATAAAATAAAAAGGTAATAAGAAATATCAGTGGTCGTCAACTAACATTAAAGTTGATGTCATCGTTAATCAACAAAAAAAAAAAAGATGAGCGATTTACTAATGAGAGAAAACTATGAGAGAAATTTGAGAGAGAGAGAGAGAAAAAAGATATTGATTGTTTGTAGAACAACTTGTGTGGAAGCAAATGTGAAATAATTGATTATATTAAGGAATGCATGTGGACTGAAAATAATAATAAGACTAGGCGACAGGAACCCTGCACCAAATTACATTCATGCAGTTAATGGACAGGATGGCAATGCTTAAGGCTTTTCCCCACAGTTTCCACTTTCCACCTGTTTCATTTATACACGACTCACTGAGCTAGATCGGAACCCCAAAAAATAAAAATCAGTGAGCTCACGGTTAACAAACAGTAAATTGATTTCGAAGCTGGCCTAGGTTTTGGGTAATCGTACGGGCAAGTGTTTGATTCCAGTTGCAGGCGAGTCGTGACTAGGCAACGGATCGAACAGTTTAATTAGCAGCCAAGGAAGTTGTATGAAGCTGCGTGTTCTAAACTGAGTGGTGTGGGGACACTGTCCTCTTCAGCTGATCCTCTACGTTATTTGTGTAAGTGTTGCCGCGTGGAGATAATCATTTTCAATTATTAATTGTTTTTGCCAAAATATAAATCGAAAGAAAAAAAATAAAGCGGTGGAGTGAGTAAATGAGAAAAGATGGCGAGATTTTGCAAGTATAAATAAATTGTGAAGCAGAGAGCTTTCATTTTACCTCTGTATCTTATCATGAAATAAAAACAACAATTGATTAACAAAACTCTAAACGCCACCAAAAGAAGAAAAAGAACACTTGTTTACTCTCTTTCGTTGAAAATGGCATCAGATGAAAATATGACGGTTGTTTCTTTTATGCAAGACGATGAGTACGATGAAATTGATGTTGGGTTTCATCCACATAACTTGTCCAGGCTTTCTATGTGTACTAGTTCCATGTACACTAATGATGGTAATGATGACGATGATCACTTGGGGATGTCTATGTCCATGTCGAGATTGTCTATCGAAAGCTTTGACGCGGATGTGGACGAAAAGTTCTCCGGGAAGAAGTTTCTGGAGATATCGTCGGATTCCGACCAAGAACCTAGCTGTAATTCGCTTCCCGCAACGCCGCCTCGTCCGAGGAGCAGGACCGGGATGTTGATGGTTGTCAAAGATTACGCCAGTGACCACGGACCTCAAAAGGGGAGTATCGGGAGGCCGAGAGGGCGGAGCAAGAGTTCGAGGAAGAGGAGGGTTATAAGGGAAAGAGGGGCGGAGGTGAGTGGTGGGACTAAAAGCGAGAGCAAGAAGAAAGAGGGGGATATAATGGCGGGGTATAGCAATTGCAGTGGGAGTTTCAGTGGGGAAAGTGAAGGGGGTGGTGTTATGGTGATTACGCGGCCGAAAGGTGGGAACAGGTCGTTGTGTATGGACTTGGGAGAAGTGAAAGCGTGTCGTGATCTGGGGTTCGAGCTGGAACACGAGCGTATGTTGGAGATGCCGGGTCGTATTTCGTTGTCGGGTTCAACTTTCGATAATACTAGTAGTGGTGGCAATTCCCCCATTGCTAACTGGCGTATCTCTAGCCCTGGTTAGTAAAAAATATTGCCTAAGTTTTGATTTGCATTTTTTGAGTTCATCTGACGGGGGATTGTTGGCTGCGTAGGTGATGACCCTAGAGATGTTAAGGCTCGGCTCAAAGTGTGGGCACAAGCAGTGGCAATTGCATCCACATCCAGGCATTGAAGCACTGGAGCCTACTCCCAAATTTCATTTATTTTGGTATTCTTCTTCGCTTTGCATCCTAAAAAAATTTCACAGGATTCGACCTACTCTGTTGGTGGCCGTACCATAAGAGCATAATTCCGAATTATATTTTTTAGGAATAATATTAGATCATCCTTTTTCAATTATTTGTGTGTATGTCTTTGGGGTTGTAAATAAAAGGGTAGTCCGTAGTAGAATATGGAGATAGATTGTAGGATCTGCTTTATTGTTTATAATACCAAATATATATATATATATATCGAGTGATATAAGATTCAATGATTTTATTTGGTATTGAGAAAGAAAATTATATTGTAAATCTCACAGATAAAACGATAGCATCAAGAGAACTTGTATAGATTTTAACCAACTATTCTAAAGGTTTCGTTATGGTTCGATTTATTTAACTCAACTACAAAATAATTAAGAGTCTTAAACATAAAAAATCAATTAAACCTCTTAATTTTTATTATCTAAATGTTTAAAACTTGATCTAGTAATTCTTTAATTAACATTGACAGTTAAACATAATAGTTTTTTAATCAAATAGTAAAACATATCACATAATTTTTTTTTAAATAATTTTTAAATAATTTAAAAATATCACATGATATAATCTCATGTATCAAGAATATGTCAAAAATTATAAAAACTTAAATTATTAAAATTACCCATTTATTTAATTCCTCCGTTCGATCGTTCGATAGAATATAAATTATTTATTTTTTAAAAAATTTGGATTCAAGCACCCTCAAGTCAAGTGGAAAAGTTTGCCTAATTTAGGGTTTAAACATCCTGGCTACGAATTTTCACACTTAATATGTCATGAACTCAAGAAAAAGGTAGAACTAAACTAGATTGATGTTCCGAACAAAACAGGGGGACAAATCCATGGTGGTTGTGGCCAACGCCAAGAAACATCTCTTTCAACCTTCATTTTCTTGCAACGAAAATCCAGGGCATCAACAATGGCAACAGGAGGATACTGGAAAAATGAATTGGCTACAAAAACAAGTGCTTTGCATGAATGATGTGAAATGTCATTAAGCTAGAGATACATCATATCCTTCAGGATGTGGGCACCGTGGGTCAAACTGAAACACAATGGTTCATTCGGAACCACAGAAACATGTATCCCAAATACAAAGGACGCATCGTTTTTGCTAACTCAAGTGAGCATACAACAAAGGTTCAATGGCGGAACACGAGGGATTTTTTTATATATATATATTAATTAAAGTATTTTAATACTTTTGCTAATATAAATTATTTATTAAAATATCATATTAACAAAAATAAAATTTTCCTTAAAATTTATGTGTTCACATAAAAATCAAAAAGAAAAACAAATCAAAATACATCAATAATAATATTATTAAGAATCGTGTCTAAATTTTTATTTTTAGAGATAAACTTTTAAAGATCTACGTAATAAATATCTATTTATTTGAAATAAAATCATAAATATAAATTAAACAGAAAAATATTTTTTTTAAATTTTCTTCAACTGAAATAAAATTAAAAATTCAATACTTAATAACTTGATTTAAGTACTCAATTCAAAGAAGATGCACAACTCAAAGAAGAAGAATTACCAAACAGAGAAAAACATAAAAAAATTATATCTCAAAATAAAAAATATAAAGGAAAACGATTTTTCACTGATTTAAAAAAAATATTTTTAATGAATGATATTTAATTGGTTTTTAAATTTTAAATAGCACGTACAATTTTTTTGGCAATCAAATTTAATAATTTATTATAAACGTTTTTTAGGATCAAACTTAATAATTTAATAGGGTAAACCACATATTTAGTACCTAAATAATTACTTTTGTTCTATTTTATTACTAAAATTTTGTTTATTTTCAAAATTATACATAACGTTCAATTTGAGTTTTGATTTGGTACCCAACCGTTAAAAAAATTATCAGAATTGTTAATGTGGCATTTTTTAAAAAACACACACAAAATGATGTATAATTGTCTTATGATGACACATTTATATCACTATTAAGTTTATAACGGCGAGATGTCAAATTGAATCTTAAACTAAATGATAGGTATGATTTAAAAAAAATAAAGTTTGGGGTATCAAAACAGAAAAACTTAAAATTTAAGTATTAAACTTGTAATTTACCCTAGTTTAATATATATATATATATATTATTTCTTTTAATATTTTATGACGGGGCCATGACCCCACTAGCCCCTCTTACCTTTCGCTGCAAAGGTCCATGGAAATGTTCTTTGCTTATATATATAAAAAAAAGATATTGCTGATCATATTAATCCGCAGACACCGGAAATCCCAAAGCTTCACTTTATTAAACAATAACTTATGAATGTTACAATTTCCCCAATTTGAAATCATGGAAAAGAATAAATATGGAAGCAATAGAGGCCTCTACAGTAATTAAGTTGTCACTCACTTGAGGACAAGATCATGACAAGTCTTGTCGCAGGGATACGGGCAGTCAATAGCTTTCACGGGTTTTCGGTCAAAGAACCAATCTGCAACCGACACTGCAACTGCCTGCAAGGATAACATAATCGAAAGCAAGTAGTAAAGTGCTACATGAGGGTTAGTTCCCCCATGAGATTCAGACGATGGACATTGTTTAACACATTGAACAGCAGTTGAATATAGATGGGACGTACCTTGTTTCCAACACGAGGAGAATCATTCTCATACCATGTAGGCTGCATCTCTGATTGGCAGTGAGCGAAACAAGAATTTATAAACAAACCGTTTCGATTGGACTGTGAGAACACTTCTACAGCATTAAGCATTTGGTTCCTAAAGTCTGTTCCAATTCCAATGTGAGGAAGAAAAAGAGGAGTAAAAGGCCATTCATTATACTAGCAACTTGTCACTACAAAATCGAAACAAAACAATAACTAGACACAAACTCAGAAAATTACCTTGAAAATACTTGATCTGTGATGCGTTGCAATGACGGCGATCTACTTTGCAGTCATGCCACAAACCATGGGGATCAGCAATTGATGGAATTAAACTCTGATCGACCTGAAAAATAGAAACCAGATATCTCAGCCAAGTTATTCAGCATTCAAGGGGTCATCTATCAAGACAACGTTTATAAACATAGTAGCATCCGGTTCAAAAATTTGCAGTCAAAGATAAGCAAATGTGGAACAGGACCCAAGAAAAATAATCTAACAAAGTACAAATAGGAAGAATACCTGCCAAGCATCATAGGCTGCATTGAGAAGAAACATTGGGGTTTTGATATTCGAAACCAAGTTATGAGGGAAAAAGCACTGCAAATGAAATATGGAGTTATGGGCATTCTAACGAGTTACAACTTAAAAACTACTCTCTCAAACGTAAATAACTACATGAATGACAACGAAGAAAGTAGAGATGTTTACCGAAGTTGGATCCTTTTGACTGGTACAACTACTCGGTAGATTCTTTTGCACACCCTATCATTTCATGGAAGTTTTATTTTAGTGAGCAGATATAAGATTAAAGACTTGATAAAAATATTGGTTGATTACTCATAACAGCACAAGCTTTTCTTTCTTCATGGTCTTGAAAACATTTGGACCAAGTAATATGAATATATGTCTAATGAATCTCAAATCAAGAGAACTGAACTAACAAGAACAGAAGCTTATGTTCAAGTTATTGAAGTTTTGAGCAAGACGAAACCTATAAGAGGTGCGAAAGGCGTACCTGTAAGGTAACCACACCTTCATACATTTCCCTTAAGGTACGGCCACCAGCCACATTTGTTCTGCGAAAGAAATAAAAAAAAAATTAACTAAGACTATATTTTAGTAATCAAAGAGAAATTACTACAATAAAAAATATGGTAATGTAGATAGTTCATTACGCATCAAGGAAAAGGCCTGCATCACTTAGACATTTCACTTCGGTAGTTCCTGGAAACAAAGCCTTAAATTCATCACAATGAAAAATGGAAGCTAGACCCCCAGCTGAACATCCAGAAAGAAGTGCCTGAGACCACAGCAAATATGAAAAAAATATATATTAGTAGTCCAAAAACAAATTGGAATTTTGAAAGTAACTTGCTAGATGCAAAACCTGATTAGCATTTCGCATTCCCTTGGACATTAATTCTTCCATTGTAGCTGACCAGATCCTTTGTCCTCTAAAATAAAGTTGATTGGCCTGAAAGTAAAATCACCGAGCACCATGAGTACTTAACTAGTGTTCCATTGAAGATGTCCTAAAGAAGAAGAAAACAATCTGTTCTAAAACAGGAGGATATGGCTATGGCAAATCAAACTAGGCCATGCTTATGATCCATCAGACCCAGCCTCGAATCTTCGGCGACAAAGTATTCAGGGAAATGCAGCAAAGGGTAAATCGTAATCTTGCTAACTAACCTCATCATAGCCTTCTCCAGCAAAAGAAGCCCCATCACAGTAACGCACCCTTACTCTATTCCAGTTGTAAAAACCAGGATTTTCTTCAGGTTTATTGCTCAAGATTCCAGTGAAATTTAATTGCTTCTCCATAAATTTCGATGAACCACGTCGAGTAGTTTTGCGGAAGACACAAGTCCGAATGTTATTACACCATCCACCACCCTGAAACCACAAACATCAATCCAAAAAAGTGAAAAATCAATCAATAGAAAGACTGAAAAGGATGAAAAATCAAATATTTTTTAAACCAGACCTCCAAGTGGATAACCCAGTTGTTTGCACCTGATCCGAACCCGCGATGCATATGATAACCAGGAGGTGTCCCATCCAAACAAACTGTGACACAACATATTAAAAGATCAAACACCTCATTTGCAATCAAAGAAATTCAATAATTAAATGATATGATATATCTTTTTTTAACTTACCAGCTCCTTTAGAAACAGCTCCTGGAATGAGAGTGAGGGGAACCATGAGAGAGTTGGCTCCAGAGGACACTGCTTCTTCATCCAAGTACGAAAGGAAACTCTCCTCAGCTATCGGTTCTTCAAAACCATATTCAGATCGGCTCAAACCAATCAAAGACACACACCATAAACTCAAAACCCATAACAAATACCACTTCATTGTTCCTTTTCCCCCCCTGTTCTGCCTCTCTCCCTCTTTACTCTTGGTAAAGCTAGAAGTCCTAATAAAGGAGTCCTGGAGTTTCACAATATCTAATCAAGTACCGACTTTGAAAAATACCCTGAGTGCAATTACGGGAAACAGATCAGCAGTAGTTAAAAGTATTAACATTATAATAATGACAAAAATCTAATCCGATCTTCTATGGTTGAGCCTCATTCACCGCTTATTTGGTCAGGCACATTTGTATACTTTCCTTTTCGTTTTGGGATTTTCCACCGTTATCCCTTTCTTTGGCAATAGAACAGCGCCCAGACTCAATTCACCCAATGTGCCTTTCTTTATCATTATCCTCCCCAACAACCACTGTTTTCTTTGAGTCACCCCTTGTTTTCTGCCTTTTTATTCTGATAGATGAGAATTTACTCTTCCAATGTGCAACAGCCCACTGCACCTATCTATCTCAAAATAATGAGATTAAGTGTTTAAATAATAGCAAGAAGCATAAACTAAACGACCTTAGTGATTAAGAGATTCTTGTTATTTCTTGAGATCTCGAATTTAAATACTGATAAATATTTACTAGTACCTCAAATTTATCAAAAACAAGTATTTAAATAAGAGAATTTAACATTAAGGTGCCGTTTGGTTCGTTGGAATCCCTTGGAATTAGGGTGAATTGGAATCTAATTCCACCACTTTTTAATGTTTGGTTCAAATTTTCAAAGAGAAATTGGAATTCAATTCTATAAAGGGAGGGAAAGTAAATTCCATCTATAACATGATATAATTGAAATCCTTTGGAGGAGAGAATGTGAAATTTGACTATATTACCCTCATCAATCTTTTAGTATTCGGGTCGGATTTTTTTTAAAACAAAATTTGGGATCGGTTCGGGGTTTTTTTTAAAATAGGGTTCAGGTAGGGTCGAGTTTTTTTAAATGTGATATTCGGGTCGAGATTGGGTTTAGGGTGAAAAATACCTGACCCGACCCGAAAAAAATATATAATTTTACCTTATATATTTAAGAATAATTACAATAATACACCTCTATACATATTTTTTTTCAATTAAGTCATTGTTTTATTGAATAAAAATAATTTGTTATTATTTCGGGTCGTGTCGGGTTTCTAATTCATATATTCGGGTCGGGTCGGGTAGGGTGAAACTTTATTTTGGTCGGGTCGGGTCTCGGGTGGAGATTCCCTTGTTTTCAGGTCGGGTCGAGTGGACCAAAAACTCGACCCAACCCGACCCATGACCATCCCTAATTGGGATGATTTTAACTTATGATGTTTATTAGTATGATTTTTATAATTTATTAAAATGAATAATCAATTAATAAAATGAAAATTTAACATTTTTTTTAAATTTTTATAATATATTGCTACATGTAATTTATAAAACAAACTAAAATTAAGCAAAAAAATAAGAAGGGTAATTCTGTCATCTTACATTATTGAAATCAAATTCATCTTACATGTCTGCGAACCAAACAGAATATGTAATTGGATTCCAATTCAATTTCCTGCCAACCAAACAGGTTTCAGATTCAGATTCCAAATCCTTCGATTATGTATTTTTTTTATGTATGTACGTGTTGTGAATTAAGATATTTAAAATGATTTTAGATTAAAATTAAATAGTAGGATTATTTTAATGATATTTGAAGGATTATTTTAATGAAATTTGAAGGATTATTTTAATGAAATTTGAATCTTGATCATTTAATTTTTAAAAGTAAATGTTTGGTGTACGATTTAGATTTTTGTACATATTTTGCAGATTCAAATATTTTTCCAATAGTACTATTTATTTCAAATTTAATTTAGATCATAATAATTTGATAATTTATGAATAAAGAGTGAATTTAAATTTATATGTAATTTTAATTATTATTATAATTTATGAATAAAAAGTGAATTTAAATTTATATGTAATTTTAAAAAATTTAGAATGACTTAATGTTGTTATTCATACTCAAAATTCTATTATATTAAACAAATAGTAGAATAAGATGAAGACCATATAGTTTGTACTCTATTTTACTTCAGTATGTTTAAATATATAAATATAATCTAAACTATAATTATTTTATTAATATTCTGATTCGAATCTAAAATGTTAATAGAAAAAAAAACTCACACAATAAGAGTATAAATTTGAAATTTAATCCACTTTTAAATATACTTTTTATCAGATCTAAGTCAATATTTAACATCCATATACCTTTGGGTTTGAAATTGGTTTTTTGCATTTGGGACCATATGTGAATATTTTTAGTCCGACACATTTCTCGTGTCTTGTGATTTATAGTTAATACTACAAATAATTTATGAAATATATTATAATCATTGCGATTGACGCACCGCTCGATCCACACATTGTTTTCACCGGTGTAATCTCAGAAAATCCGCCGCACAGCTCGGCGGCCCCAAGCCTAGCCTTTTGATTTTTTTTTTATCTGTTTGCGTCAAGCTTGCACCATAAGACTTGCCAAAAATATACCTCAACGTTACAGTATTATTTTTTAAGAAAGGTACTTAACCACGAATAATATCATTAAATTAATCAATAATTAATTGATCTACCGGGTATGATATTAATCTCTTAAATAATATTAAGGGTTTAAGTTTTGATGTATAACCCGAGTAATACTACTCAAACCATAAATAGATGATAAAATATATTTTTCTAAAATACTTCACCGACACACAATTTTTGGTAATACGCGAGTTTATCTTGAATTTTAAGGGTAATTAAATATATATATATGCATTATAGAAGTTATTCCTAAAATACTTAGTGTAGATTAATCTATCAATAAATTAAAATATTATATTTGTGTGTTTTATTATTTTTTTAGGAAAAACGATGATAATGATTAAAATCAGTAAAATGAAATTAATTATTTTGTAGAGAATGTAATAAATCAATTGATTAAGCAATTGATTGAAAGCTTATTTAATAAAAAGTGTTAGATAAATCTTATGAAGTGATCGTACAATTGGTATCGTTTTTAAAATCATTATCATAATATAATTATGATTTATGATGGAAGTATGAAAGGTGGGCTAAAATAAAACTTTATACCATAATTTTATTGAATCATACCCCCCCCCAAAAAAAAGAACTAGACAATTCTTACACAAACATTAATTAGATTCAATTGAATTTTTACCTTAAATATTATTTTAATCCCACCATTCTATCTGTTTTATTATTAATTTAATTTCACTTTTAACACGAAGGATCAATAAATAGTTTCAATTATTTTATATCAAAATGGACATTTAAACCTGATCTGATTATTATGTTTATAAAGAGATTTAATTAAAATAATATTTGAATCTATTAATTAAACTAAATTATTTAATCTATAATTTAGAGTGTTCGGAGTTTAGTGCCATTAACTTACACATATTATTGGACGATGGTGATAGGAACCAAGCCAAATTAGACTTTTATGGGGATATTCTATTTAATTTATTTTAATAAAAATGTATATTTTAAGTATTGGCTTTTTAATTTTACTTTTATAAGGCATCTTTGAGTTTTGATTTTGCTGAATTAATTTGTGAGCTTAGTTTAGTCTTTTGGATTGGAAGATACCGACTTCAACCCCTATTTGTTAATGTATGGGTATATTATTATTGAATATATATATATATATATATATATATATATATATATATATTTTTTGTTATAGTTTATGATTCAAATTATGTCATATTTAATATATAAAATGATGGTGAAGATACTAATTTTTTACCCATTTTTTTATTATTGATATTATTATTATTATTTTATTTATTATTATTATTATTAAAATTATTATTACAAACAAGCCAAAATCGGGGCCCAATTACAAATCTGGAAGCCCAACCAGATGGCCTAACTAAAACCCTAAACCAATTTGGGGTTTCAACTAGGGTTTCTAAACCCTAGCACCCTAGCCGCCTTCAAGATTCCAGAAGGCCAGCGTCGCCTCTGCCAGGTGGTCCAACGTCCAGCTGCCGACACTCTAGTGCCACGCCACCTCGCCGCCGAAGCCTCTAGAAGCTCTGCTGCCACGACTCTGATCGTCCACGTTGTTGCCTATGGTGAGTCACCACCATAGTTATGGTGACTCACCGAAAGCTTCCTAAGGGACCGGTCCGACGAAAGCCTCGGTGGTGGCTATAAAAGCCACCACACATGCAAAATAAAAAAAACAGAGAGGAAGAACCGGAGATAACAGAAACGAGAGCAAGAACCCGAACAGACCACAACAGCAAGCCAAACAAAACCCATAGCAACAAATCAAAAAGCAAAGAGAGAATAGAGGGAGAAAACTTACCACCGAGAAAGCTACGCCGTCGTCAGAACCTCCATACGCCGCAAAAGAAATTGAAATACCGAGAGTATTTCTGTAGATCTAGGTAACTACAAGGCTTTTTAGAGAAAAAGGACATCGAATTCGTCTTTAGGACGTTCTGATCTTTATTTTGGGAATTTTGAAATTTTCCGGCCACCGACAGCGGTGGTTGTCAACGCCGGAGCACGGCTGCCGGCCGGTGGTCTCTCTCTCAGTTTTAGAGAGAGGCGAGAGAGTTAAAAATTCTCTCTCAGTTAGAGAGAGGCGAGAGAAAGAAGAAATGAGGATGTTGGCCCGAAGGGCCAGCCGTTTAGGGTATTTAAATACCCTCTCCCAAACGATGCCGTTTTGGGGGAGGGTGTTTCTGTAATTTCATAAAGGGTAAACCCCGTCCGCAGTGCTCCAAGTTTGTATACCTTGCAATTTAGTCACTAAAAGTAATTTTTGCCTATTATAATTTAGTCTTCGAAGTTTATTTTATTTTATTTCAGTCATGTCCAGTATAATTATATATTTAGGATGAATACTGAATTTAGTCCCTTATAGTTTAGTAATTATTATTTTAATCACAAATAGCATGTTTTAATTTGTTTTAATTTAATATTTGAATTCAATATATGTTTATTTTAGTCACTACATTAATAAATAGGTAATATAGTATGTTTAGCCTATATTTTTAAAATTAATTATGAATTAGGTATTAATTCTATAGGTTATAATTTAGTCACTAATTTTAATTTTTATTTATTTTACGAGTTTTATTTATTTTAAATATATAGTTTTAATTTTGTTCATTATATGTTAATTTTATA